TACCACGACGTTTCGACCAGTAATACTGGTCCTTATCAAGTGGATCCTTTCTATGTGCGATGACGATTAGCCTAATTTTATATTTTCCTATGCTTCGTTGTCACAAGCAATAGAATCCACTTGATAAGGACCAGTATTACTGGCCGAAACGTCGTGGTAAAATGTAAACTTAAATAAAACTGCCAGCCTTGGTCGATCTAATCCTTGAGTATTTTTGGTAATATTGTAAGTTTATAGAAAATAATTCTCATGACGTTCAGTTTTTACTTATTCTTGACTTTGTTTCGCAATTGACACGACTGTAAGATGCAATGTCTTGTTTTTTAAAATAATTGTAGATTGTTGAATTCCCTGAAAAGGACCACAACCCGTATGGTCGAAACGTTGGATTTTGATTGAATAAATAAACCATCTGCCAACCCAAGTTGTCTAACAATTCTTTTTATCATTTTTTAATAAATCTTTTAATTTCAAAGGCTAAACGTCAAAGACTAAAAGATACGACATGAATTTTTCTTCCAGGCGCGTACTATCGCAACGACAGTAATTATCAAAATGGATACCAGCAGCGTGCCTGGGGTAACAACGAAGGGAATAACGGATATAATAGCGGCTTTAAGCGAGGCAGTGGCGGAGGATCCAGAGGTACACGCAACGAACGCGTTAGTCGCGGACAATTCAGAGGACAAAGGGGAAGCAACCGTGGATATGCGCCACGTGGCAAACCCCACACGCAATAAGGGAGAAAAAGGAACGCTACAACTGCTAGCGTAAATGCACAGTAAAACACACTGTAATGATGCTCTGCGAGTACGATTCAACTGTCTATTTATGAAAAAGCTTAAGTCGAGACAATGCATTTGCAACATGAAATAAAACTTAAAAGAGCAGTAGGTACCATGCAGTGTTGCATGCTTAAGAATATTGTACACAATAATAACTTTGATATTAAAAAGATTACGTGAATTAAGTGGAATGTTAGATTTTGTAATGCAGATCTAGCTGCATTGTATGTTTTTTTATCCTTTGCATATTCACAGATATATTAAGTAACTTTGAGAAGATGAAGTTTATTGGTTGTATAGAAAACATAAGATCTTGCGACTGATGTGTGTCGTACGAAGCCTACGTATGACACGAAAGAAAAGAAGACTTGCGCTGGGGCATTTGCGGCTTAGGATATTTCTTAAATATGACATTGAACAAATACAACTTTGCATTTAAATTTGATTGTAATTACGAAGAAAAAGTAATGTTAATAAAAAGAAAAGATGCAGAGGTAACATTGTGATATATGAAGAAAAATTACCAAATTAAAAAGTGTGAACCTACCGTGCAAGTATTATTGTATTATGACAGAAGGCAGGTTTCACAGGGCAACAACAGCTGATTAACAAAGATTAGAAAAATAATTTTATTATAAAAAAATACAAAAAAAAACCGAGAACTCAATACAAACATTTCATGTAAAGACTACAAGAACGTATTTAAAAATAACGTTAAGATGATTATAAGTATATAATAGGGCGATCTGCACGACCATCTCTTTGTCTTGCGCGTCATTAAAAAAAACAAGAATTTCTAAGATACCAGAAAAAAAGGACCTAGCGAGCGCCGCCTTCTAAACTGCTGAGGATATTTTTGTCTAACATGTGAATCTGAGACGTAAACACAAACCGAAATTGTGAAAACAGTAGTTTGGAAGTTGTAAATGGTTCACGATATATGAAATCTATGAAAGATGTTTTTTTTCACACAAAGATATGTCGTGATATGCACTTGATACTGCTATCGGCTCCTTCTCCTATTTTTTCTGGGCGATTCCGAGATTCTTCACGATGATCGCGCCCACACAGCCACGGCTAAGCGAAAGAGATTGCGGTGCAATGTCTTCGTTTACGATGTATGCATTACCTGAATTTTTTTCTATTACGAAAGGGAAAGAAACATATGATTATTTTTAAAACGGAGAGAGCGATTAGTGTGCGAGGCTTTAGCATATAAGTCGAGTTTATTGTACAATTAACTAGACGCAGGGGGAAAGAGAGGTGAGGAAAAAAAAGAATATGTTTCTTATACTGCGCCGCCAATAAGCCACGCACCACACGGATGAAAAGTACCATTTATTGTGTTTGTACATTTGTGTTTAATCACTATCCACCCCCAACCTCCCCTATCTTGATTACGTTAAACTATCCTATGAATACCTGTGTATCTTCCAAATAAAGATCTAATTCAACCACATTTTAATCGGCCCATTTATTCCCAGAATGATTAATTTTATTTTTTTCCACTTAATCAAATTCAGCCGATTTCTCGTTAACGTTTTTATGTAATTGTTAACATTCTCTGGCTAAAGTGTCATTATTTTACTGCTACGCTTACTATTAACGTTATTGGTATCGTATAAATTAATATTAATTTCCCAATGAAGCGTTTGATGCCACAGTGCTCGAGTAATTGTATCTACAATTTTTTAATTTACACATGTATTACGCATCATTAATATGATATGCAGAGAAAATGTGTGTGTGTGTGTGTGGGCATGTGTGTTAAATATCTCGCAATTATTGGATCATCCGACCAGCGGCGTCAGCGCGGCAAAATTATTAGGAGGCAACAGGCAAGCACTTCTCAAATAACGATACTTTTTAAAGTATCCTTTACACCACCTGAAAGAGGGGGGGGGGGGCGGCGTACAGAAGTAGATTGCGGGGCATATCGTGTAAAGTGCTCCGTAATACTGTAACATCTCTATGTAACGCTGCAGAGCGAGAGAGAGGGGGGGAGAGCTAGAAAAAGAAAGAGCTAAAGAGTTACAGAGCTTATAGCGCGAACGTTCTCTCACGGGAGACGAGGCTACGTGTAAAATAAAGGGTGAGAGCACGAAAAGAATACTTAATATCGCACGTACGTATAAAATCGGGGAGTGAGAAATTTTTGCGCTACAATCGTAAGATCGCACGTCAAATTACGCGTGCGGACGATGAAAATCCTTGACGGGGCGCCGTTCCCCCAACTATTTTTGCTGAGGGGGCAAAGAATGCTCTACCCCTCCTGACAGCCCCGAGACCCCAGCAAAGTCGGCGCCTGTGCGTCCGGACTCGGGTCGAGTGCACTGATTTACTGCAATGTACCAACTCCGATAACGGGTACATGACGTCCCGGTTGTTCATACAATCGCTCTTATTGTTGTAATACTTGTGTTGCTCGTGCAGATAACATACGTAATGTGCGACATGTAAAAATGTACATGCGTAATGTTGTTGCCGCACTTGTTTGAAAAATGTTTGACAACTGTAAGCTGCCTGTGATTAAAAGAGTTTCGGTGTAACAGCTGTTACAACGGGTAGGTTAAAGCTCGGCTCCGGTTTACAAAACGTTCGCCGTGCGATCGGTACTTTTTCTAAATTAATATTCGACATCGGCAGTTAGAGTGCAAGATGCTGCTGCAAAGATTATGTCGCGTTGCAAACTCCGGCAGAGTTCTTCAAAGAGCGGTTCTGTATAAAAATATTTATCCAGCACGTAAGGTAGAGGACACACGCTTGTGTCGAGATGTGGTAGCGACAGCTGCATTGTTTGTGTATTAATGTCAAGATCTTTTTTCTTTTGCGAAGGAAAATAGCGCTCAAGTAATCAGAAAGGTAACAACGATCTCGCCGTTCACTGCCATGGGATTGTGGGGAGTTGCGAAGAACAACGACGAGGGTGGCATCCAAATGACAAATAAGGATGTTCTCACTGAAGCAGACACCCTTTTTGACCGGGGAGACTATAGAAGTGCATACGATCTTTTGTCAAAATATAAGGTAAATGAAATTTGGAATGTTTAGTCGACCCAACTGGCAGAGATTTTATTTGGGAGATTTTACATCCACTATGTTTCGACCATCCGGACTGTGGCCCTTATCAAGTAGTTGGTAATTAAGGTACGCGACAGTGTATAATAGTTAAGGCATTCATCATATTTCTGTTTTTTCCTAAGCTCTGAATACCATATGTAACACGGGGATATTACCAACCACTTGATAAGGACCACAATCCAGATGGTCGAAACGTAGTGGATGTAAAATTTCCCAAATAAAATCTCTGCCAGTTGGGTCGACTAAACATTCCAAATATTGCTGACTATTTACTGGCGACATCAATCTCTTACTCCCGTAAATGAAATTCTTTAAACTACGTTATATATCTCTATACAACATATCTATATGTTCACTTACAATACAAGATTGTAATATATGTGTGTGCTATATATTTTTGACTGACACTACATTGTTCTTTATAGGACAACAAGGATGTCGAAGTCTTGTGGCGTTTAAGCAGAGCCATTTACAAAATGTCTGAAGTGGCAAACGCTGCTGAAGCACGAAAATTAACTTATGAAGGATACGATTTGTTATGTACGGCACTTGAAATTCAAGAAGACCACTATGTTCTGCATAAATGGATGTCTGCATTTCTTAATAGTAAGAGTAGTCTGGAAGGTACAAAAGCACAGATCAAAGAATCGTACAATATTAAGAAACATATCGAGGTGAGATATTTGACAAATAATTAATTTGACCATGGATATTAATTCGCGATTGAAATAATATATTTTATGGATAGCGGGAAAATAATGTTACAAATTATTATGATTACCGTAATCTCTGAGTCATTGGTATAACTCGTATTGCAGAGAGCGATAGAATTGAAACCTGGTGACGCAATGCTGTTTTACTTGCATGGAACCTGGTGCTATGAGATTTCGAATCTGGCATGGTATCAGCGAAAAATAGCATCCCTCGTATTTGGAGAACCGCCGACTTCGACTTTTGAAGAAGCGTTGATGTACTACGAGAATGCCGAGAAAGCTGATCCAAATTTCTACAGTCGCAATTTACTGATGTTAGGAAAGACATACCTGAAATTGAATCGAAAGGAAGACGCGAAAAAATACTTGAAAAAGGCTGCTGAATTTCCTGCGAAAAATGACGAAGATCAGAAAGCAAAACAGGAAGCGCAAAAAATATTAAATAGTATTTAAGGACAATAGAGGTATATAAATATCTTTGAATTGCATTTTATATAGACAATTTTTTTATTGTTTTAAAACATGTTTGTTACGTAACCCTTTCATGACCGAATTAATTTGTTGTTAAGTTTTGATATATTGTTGCTTAGTAATAGAGTGCGTCCACTAAATCATTGAATCTCTTTAAGTTTTATAATTGGAATTCGTATGTCCCAGTGGTCATGAATGAGTTAACAAATAAATTTAGTATAATATTGCGATACTAAAAAGATTATATGTGTTATGACTATGTGCCATGACTATTCCATGACTATATTATAATTATACAATTGATATATTTATCTTACGTGATTTACTATATTTATACGTATAGCTTTCTATAAAGAGATATGCACGTATACGTGCTTAACATCCCAGCACAGACAGCACACATGTCTAAAAAAGACATCTTTAAGACGTCCTTAATTTATCTTTTAGACATGTACGTCTTAAAGATATCTTTATGACGCCTTTAAGACATGTGTGCTATCTGGGATGTCTGTACACTACTAATGTCGAATTCGTGCGCGACTCGAATCTGACTAGTTTGTACATTTCTATTAGGTAGAATATTTCACGGATCCAATGGAATGTCTTGAAATAAACGGGCTATTGCTTATTTGTTACAATGACATAACTAAAAAATTGCAATTTTTCAATTGTTTGTTAAACGTTCAAGTTTATTTTCCGAAAATTGTTTTCTAAATTATGTTATTGATGTAACAAATAAGTGATCGATTCGTTGTGCATAAATGCACACGCATACAGCTCAAAGAACAGAGTTTACAATTATCGACGTGTAATCGGTTGATTGTATATGTATATATGGTCACTTGTCATATTTTTATGTCCATAATTAAATTATAATAATTACAAAAGGGGTACAAACCATCTTAAACGCACAAATCGTTCTCTTACAAGAATAAATAGGCAAATAAAAAATATATTCTTCCAGTTAAAATGTTAATAATTTGAACCTCGAATTGAAACCATTTTAAATGGAAATTATTAAGGAAATAAAACTTTTGATTTTCCCGATTTGAATCTCAAAATTCTCAGAATTACATATCTTGAAGCTTTCGGAAAAGAACTTGAAACTTTTCTTGAAATTTTAGACAGTGCAACTTTTTACTGATTATGTTCTGTTACTGTGCCGATTTTCAAATTTTTAATTGGAGTTGTTGAACTTAAAATTTTGGGATTTGCTATTCTTAAAATTTTCGTTAGTTTATTTTGTAATATTAATGTATGTCTTATTATATCTTTAAATAAAATAGGTATACAAATACATTATCAAATATCATACATCGTTAGTAATACATATAATTATTTTATACTGACTGATGCACGTAACGTGGAAAATCGCAAAATGATCAATTGTGATTAAAGGCCTATGTCCACGATGCTAGAACTTGATCCAAGTTCTAGTTCCGAGAAATGTGTAGCCAATCAACCTGCAGCTATTCCATAAAAGCTGCAAGTTGATTGATTATATATTTCTCGAAACTAGAACTTGGACCAAGTTCTAGCCTCGTGGACACAGGTCTTTAGAAACGGGGAAACTTTTATATAATTAAAATTTATAAAAAATACAATAAAGGAACAGATAAATATGTATATGTGTTTGTTCATTCATTAATATTGTACGAAGAAACTCTAATTTTGAGCCATAAAAGCCATTATTCAGATTGGACACGATGAGCGACGAGCGATAATCCAATGAGCGTGCAGTCTTGGGGTCTGTTTTTTATTGCTGCACTCCTGAACTAGTGCACACTGGTGCAATGAGTTGGAATGAGAGGTAATCTATTTGTTTCATTTTAACTTATTGCACTAGTTCAGTAGTGCAGTAATAAAGAACAGGCCTTTGATAGGAAAACGGTACGCTTTCCCATAAAACCTGTTATACGCTCATTGGATAATCGCGCGTCGCTCATCGCTCATCGCGTCCAGTCTGAATGAGCCATAACGCGTAAATACATTTATACGTTAGAGCAAGTAATTACATTAATTACTTTTATTAAAACTATTTTTTTCGTAGGCCATTTCCATTTACAATAAATAATGTATGCCAGTTCGTATGCGCCTTTTCTGGATACAATCCTGAAAAGGGTCCAGGCAGGGTCCAGGCACTTTCAGCCGTTGACACACTTGCTGTGTCCAGCAGAAGTTAGCGCTTGCTAAGCGCTTTGCGCTCATTGGATTATACTTTCAGATCTGTGCTGAAATAGAGCTATTCTTCTAGATCTATCCAATCAGCATAAAGCGCTTAGCAAGCGTTAACTTCTGCTGGACACAGCAACTGTTGGCGCTTATGAAAACATGGCGGAAAAGTGAGAACGCCCAGGGGCCCGATTCTCGAAATCATTCGAAGAAGAAACGTATACGAACATTCTGCTCTGACAGAAAAGTTGAAAGTCGATTGGTTAAAGCCCTGCGAATAGCCAATCAACTTGCAACTTTTCTGTAAGAGTATAAGAATTTTCGCATACGTTTCTCCTTCTAATAAATTATTGGCTATTCGCATGGCTTTAACCAATCGACTTTCAACTTTTCTGCCAGAGCAGAATATTCGTATACGTTTCTTCTTCGAATGATTTCGAGAATCGGGCCCCAGATCAAAGGTACCGACAGATCGAGTGACCCTACTGGTTATACTGTGCACACACTTTTGCATAAGTGCATAAGCATATTATATGCATAACGAATGTGATTAATCCATTTTCTTGTGCATTTGCTTATAGACCAATCAAATTCGTTATGCATATATGCTTATGCACTTATGCAAAAGTGTGTGCTCCCCGCTTAACGTTGCGCATGAACCAGTAGAGATATTTGAAAAGTGTTTGATAATTGTAATCTACTGTGATTAAAATAGTTTTGGCATAACAACTGCGACGGTCCGTAAACTAATTAGTTTCACTTCGTTACCAATTCATTGCACATACAAGGCTTTCTCTAAAATAACTGTTCTCCAATCGATATCGACAGTTCAAGTACAAGATGCTGCTGCAGAGGTTATATCGTGTTGTAAACTCTAGTAGGATTCTTCAAAGAGCAGTTGTGCTAAAAAGTATTTATCCAGCACTTAAGGTATGTGACATAATTGCGTCAATACGGTAGCAATAGCTATATTATTTAAGCAGGGTAGGAAAGTAACTCGTTACTTGTAACGAAGTTACAGTTTTTTTTTGGGGTATCTCTAATTTAACTTCGTTACTTTCTCTTAAATTCATATGTAACTGTAATTGTCAGTTACATTTTTTTTTATAACCAATAACCATGGCAATTTAATAGTTACATTAATAGTCACTTTATACATATCTTGAACTTTCACACGTTGCATTAGACTTTGCATTTGCGCCTAAACGCCTTTATTGGCACTTTACAATTCAGATTTGGTAGGTTTTTATTTTCATTACAAGAAACTAACTGCAAAGTAACGATTCGTTTTTTTTTAGTAACTGTAACTGTAACACGTTACTTTTCAGAATTGGTAACTTGTAACTGTAACATAGTTACATTTTTAGCGAAAAAACTGTAACTGTAACTAGATATTTTAATGAAGTAACTTTCCCAACCCTGTATTTAAGTATTAGAGTAAGTCAAGAAAACTTTTTTTCAGAAGGAGAGTAATATGCAAATTATCAGAAAGTTAACAATAATATCGCCGTTTACTGCAATGGGAATATGGGGAGTTGCAAAAAACAATGATGAGGACAAAACGAAGGAACTTCTCAGTGAAGCAGATGCGCGTTTTGATCGTGGAGACTATAAAAGTCTGTATGATCTTCTGTCAAAATATAAGGTAAATCAAAGTCTTTGAACTTGCATAGATTCATGTAACATCTGTATTCACTTATATTCATGATTATACCCAGTGAGAAATGATTCGTCGGTCGATGTCGAAACGATGTCGAATAGACGTCAATTTGACGGTATCGATGTCGATTCGACATCGTTTTGACATCGATCGACAAATCATTTCTCACTGGGTAATATATATATGCTGCATATTTATATGCAACTACAATACACAATCTTTTGTAGGACAGTAAGGATGTTGAAATTTTGTGGCGTTTAAGCAGAGCCATTTATAAAATGTCTGAAATGGCCAGTGACGTTGAGGCACGAAAATTAATTTATGAAGGACACGATTTGTTACGTACGGCTCTTGATATTCAAGAAGACCACTATGCTGTGCATAAGTGGATATCGATATTTCTTAATAGTAAGAGTATTCTGGAAGGTACAAAAGCTCACATAAGAGAATCGTACAATATTAAGAAACATATGCAGGTAAGATATTTAACGGACAACTCATTCGATTATGAACACCAATTCACAATTAAAATGACGTGTTTTATAAATAATGTAAAAATATGAATGATGAAAATAATCTCACAAATCATTATGATAATGATTACTCTGATCTGAAATCATTGTTACAATGTATATTGCAGAGAGCGTTGGAATTAAAACCCGGTGACGCGATGCTGCTCTACATGCTTGGATGTTGGTGCTACGAGATTTCGAATCTGGCATGGTATCAGCGAAAAATCGCATCCGTCGTATTTGGAGAACCACCGACTTCGTCCTTCGAAGAAGCATTGATGTATCACGAGAATGCCGAGAAAGCTGATCCAAATTTCTACAGTCTCAATTTGTTAATGTTAGGAAAGACATACATGAAATTGGATCGTAAGGAAGACGCGATAAAATATTTGAAAAAAGCTGCCGAATTTCCCGCGAAGAATGACGAGGATCAGAAAGCAAAGCAGGAGGCACAAAAACTGTTAAGTAGTATTTGAAAATGATAAAATGCAGCTATCAAGCTGCAGATAAACAGCTTTAAACTACGCTCTTTTATATAAGAAAGAATTAGTTTGTTCAACGTTCTTGTTAGTTGAGAAGTAAATTAAGTATAATATTGTGATACAAAATGACTAGATATACATACCAGAGTTGTAAACCGAACCGAACCATTGAAGTGTATTCGCTCCGAGAGAACGGATCAAAATTTCAATTATAAAATCGGTCCGATGCAGAGCGAACCGGTTTTGGAGCGGTTTCTTTATTTAAAAAGGATTTAATTTATTTAAAAAGATTTACCACATTTGAGTCTTTGCCACATAGCTGGAGAGGTGGTAAATGTGCAAATATCAACAGTTCGGTTTGATTTGCATTCCAAGTTCTAAATAATTTACTCCATTCATCCGGTTTTCGGAGCGGTTTTTAAACTCTAACCGGTTCAAAACCGCTCCAAGAACGTATTTATGCTCCGGTTTACAATCTTATTTGCTCCGTTCTCTCGTAGCGTATAACTTCAATGGTTCGATTCGGTTCGGTTCGGTTTACATCCCAAGTGCCAAATAATTTACTCCTTAAATTCATCCGATTTTCGGAGCAGTTTTTAAATTCGAACCGGTTCAAAACCACTCCAAAGAACGTATTTTTGCTCCGGTTTACAACCCTGATACATACATACACAATTATCATGACCGTGCCACAATTATGTAATTGATATGTTTACTACAAGTATTATGTGCACACACACATATATATATATATATATATATATATATATATATCATATTTTTGTATATTTGTATGGTTGTAGGTGGGAACTAATAATATATTTTATATAAAAATTTACAGAAAGTTAACAAATGTGACAAAACTGGTTATGTCAATGATATTTATTTTACTTTATATCATTATAAAGATGTTACATATTTTATTTCATAGATCATTTTATATATTTACGATTTTTACGTAGAGATCATAATAATATATTTTATAAAAGTGACAGAAAACTAATAAACGTTACGAAGCTAATTATGTCAATGGTATTCAGTTTACAAGTATGTACTATATCTTACAATTTACTTTACAATATATACTGATGATTATGTGACGATAGAAAATTATTTAAACATTTTCTTTTGTACAAGATTGCTCCGTTTACATCAGATAATCATTACGATCGCATTCTCGTAAAAATACACTTTGTATTTTTTTGTAAATAAAATGTCTCTTTTAGATTTGGCTTAAAATGTTAAAATAAATTAACCTTGTACGAGGCCCTCCACCACCCCCACTGACTCCAGTCGGAAGATTGAGACAGGCTATTTTCTCTTACCCATTCGGGACTTTCTTTGATAGCCCTCACCTGACGCAGCCGGGTCCGAAGCCGGACGACTCATAAGGTTTTTACTGTTGAGTTCCGCGGACGGTTTGAACAATTAATTATGGGCGCCAACTAATCTTTATAAAATCAGTAAAAGGTCTTATACGAGGGTTTGGAATGACAATTAGATTGGAAAATTCTATATAAAATTGGGGGGGGGGGGGGTTCATTGGAGGGACCCTGGAGTTTTATGGATTATATTGTACCTAGCGTTTGAAGTAAATCGCTCCGAAATTGCTTCGGGCAGAACACTCAATTTTATTTTCTCTACTTACAATTGAAGTCAGGAACCCACTCGACAAATTTAAAATTAACTTCCTGGTTGAATTATACTCTATACTCTTGCATTTTCCTTTTTCAATGTATCTCACAAATTAGAATTCTACGTTAAAAAGCAAGAAACAATATTTCGCATACATTAAATATATATCTTTGCATCTATATATATATATATATATACATACAGTTAGATAAGCGGAAAATACCCATACGCAAATCACTGTTTTTTTTCAAGTTCATAATAGAAGAGTTAACAATCTTAAATGCTTTATTAGATATTACGTAAATTTTGTTCAGACAGATAAGAAGAAAAGGTATACTTAAAGTCGCTGGGACTAAAACCGCGTCAGTCATCGAGTAATATTAAAGAATATGTAATTACGTCTATCTATTAAAAGTGCCTACTTATTAATAAGCTACATAGAGAATGTCTGTAATAATCGCGTAATAATGTTAAGGTTCTAGATTTCTGATAGAATACATAATATGCACTATATTCTCTTTGTATACAATACGTATATGTATGATATATTATAATTAATTATAAAAAAGTGCATTTGTTGGAAAATTTGAGAACATCTCAATGAAACGTGGTAAAACATGATATTGTTTCACTTTTCCGTTGTTTTCGCGATTAATTGAATCGGTTAAAGAAACTGGAAATAAAAAGAGGCAAGTATATTTTCTTTCTTATGTTGCTAGACAACATAAACGCGCGCTCTGCGCGCGCCATTTACTCTGTCTGAAAATTCGCATGGTTTGGCAGCTGCAAATAACACGACTGAAACATGTCGTATCGCACAAGCGAGACAGCCAAACAGTATCTCGAAAAAAAAACTTCCATCTGATACTAATTTCTCCATCTTTTGTTGGAAATAGCCTATGTTTCTCTTTCACTCGCAGGAATTTGACAACCTCTTTTATAGCCAGTCTCTGATTACAGGGTTTCTAGCCATTGCCGAATGCGATAAACAACTTTCCGTGCGCATAGCAATATCCTACACAGCACGGGGAACTCCCGGGGAGCTCTTAAAATTGGTCATAAGCTTCACTTGAACTTCAAACGAATTCGCACGGAGCCCCCTGAGAGCTCCTATGTCCGCTTTTGAGAACTCTCTGGGAGCTTTATTTAAGCTCGCAGGGAGTTTAAATGAGGCTCCCAGGGAGCTCTCAAAAGCGGACATAGGAGCCCGCGAGGAGCTTCATTTAAGTTCGCAGGGAGTTCAGAAAACATGTTTTAAAAACTCTCTGCGAGCTTAAATAAAGCTCCCAGGGAGCTACGTGCGAGTTAGTTTAAAGTTCAAATAAAGTTTATGAAAAATTTTATTAGCTCCCCAGGATTTCTCCGTGCTATGTGGGCATAGTTATAAAAAATATATTTAGGTCATTAAAAGTTTATCCATGATCCAGATAACTCGCTGTCGGATTATATCGGCTCGCCTCTTATACTAATATGGGAGGATTTTACTTATGAGAAAAACTAAAGTGCGGTCGCCACGTCGCGGCAGTGAGTGGTACTAGTACTAACTCGCTGGAAGCTTGTTTTATCGAATTTTGTAAGCTTCCCGGGAGCTCAGCGAAATGAACTCCCTGGAAGTTTGTTTTGTCGAATTTTATAAGTTCCCTGGGAGCGCAGCGAAATGAACTTTCTAGAAGCTTAATCGGAGCTTTGTGCTGTGTGGGATCGATCGCCGGGCGGTCACATCTCGTCACGCGCTCGAATTGGGCAGTAGGCCGGGCTAAGACGACAATTTTTAATAATTAATTACTCGTTATGTATTGCAAAAATTACAAAATGGTACAGGACTTTTCTGTTTATCTCGATCCGTTCTACCTTCTCACAAATTTTGTCGGATGTGGAATGACTCACCCTGTATAATTCTTGATTGGATGACTTTTACACTTGGTTAGATGTTAAGTATATTTTCTTCTCCTTATCTGTTTAGACAGGATGTTACGTACATCCTGTCTAGACAGATAAGGAGAAGAAGATACACTTAAGGTCGCTGGGAGCAAAACCGTGTCAGTCATCGAGTAGTATCAGAGACTGTCACGTCTACCTTTTGAAAGTACCCACTTGTTCATAAGCTCCACAGAGAATGTATGTAATAATCGTATATTAATTGCAAGCTTCTAGATTTCTGACACGTAGAATACATAATATATAGAATAATAAACATTCAAGTAGTACTTGACTCAATACATAATATATACGTCACACATTCTCTTTGTGTAAAATACGTATATATGTATACATCTGATATATGATTAATTATAAAAAAGTGCATTTAATGAAAAATTTGAAAATATCTCCATGTAACGTGGGAAAACATAATGTTGTTTCACTTTTCCGTTCTTCTCGTGATTAATTGAATCGGTTGAAGGGACTGGAAATAAAGAGAAGTAAGTATACTTTCGTTTATGTTTTATATCAATTTTAAAATGCAGAGAACCTTAAACGTTGGTTTTAATAAAGTCCTGCCGGTAAGTTAAAACGTTGTCCATGATTTTTAAATTAAATTTATATACATATAAATTAATTAAATCGAATGAGGGAATGTATAAATGTTCTTTCATTTATGAGAGAACGTACCATGTGATTAATTATTTAAATAAATATGAAGCTTCCTTATTCATAAGTAATATGTAATTCAAGTTATAAAACTACACAATTCGTTAAAAAACGTAAAACTACTGGTTTACGTTGATTTTTATTGAATATAATAGTAATGGAATGTATATATAATCGCTCACACAGCACGGGGAACTCCCGGGGAGCTCCCGAGGAGCTCTTAAAATTGGTCATAAGCTTCACTTGAACTTCAAAAGAACTCGCACGGAGCCCCCTGAGAGCTCCTATGTCCACTTTTGAGAGCTCTCTGGGAGCTTTATTTAAGCTCGCAGGGAGTTTAAAAATGAGGCTCCCAGGGAGCTCTCAACTAGTACTAACTCGCTGGAAGCTTGTTTTATCGAATTTTGTAAGCTTCCCGGGAGCTCAGCGAAATGAACTTCCTAGGAGGCTTAATCGGATTTGTGCTGTGCGGGCGTGTAATGAGAATTCTTGCTTGCTATTTTCAAATAAATTAAAGAAATTAACACTCATTATAATGTCTTGAAAAATATATTTTTCCAAAGGATTGAATATTTCAAGGATTGAATAATTCAGTGCTATACTTATAACTGTTTTCAGTAATAATTTACACTGATTGATTTTCAGAGAGTACTCGTATGTCTAAAGATGTAAGCAAGACATTGTTTATAACTATACCAACAGTACGTTGAACAGCAATAGAATACCCAGTGAGAAATGATTCGTCGATCGATGTCAAAACGATATCGAATCGACATCTATACCGTCAAATTGACGTCGATTCGACATCGTTTCGACATCGATCGACGAATCATTACTCACTGGGTAGCCAATAGTGTAATAATATAAATTGCAATTAAAAATAAAATAAAATATTCAAAAAATTATTTTCCTATTAAAAATCAATAGTGAATTCTATTCTTGCTACTTGTTGAAAAACTGATCACTCAAGGATACCATCTAAATTATCTGAGAAAAACATTTGTTATAGTTCGATAGAACCGACACCACCAATTCGCAGACGCAGAATGTTGCAGCAAAATATGGTGGTTGTAAAGAATGCTGTGAAGCGTTATGGGAAAGAAGAGTTGGTGCTCGACGGATTGAATATGACAGTTTCAAACGGTTCCATGTAACTAGCCATTCTTTGTCTTGTCAATACAAAACATTATTCGTCTGCCTATCAATTTCCGTTTAGACGAATAAGGTTAAACATAAATATCCTGAGTTTATCAAAAGGAGCCTAGATACTTGCTATAAGAAAGAATAAGCAATGCAGTGAAGATCGAATCGCTACTGATTAATTACTTAGGCGAATTTTAATATCATGCAACGAACCTGAACCTACATCTAACTTGTCTTTTGTGGAAACCTGATATTAATTTCTTCATCTTTTGTTGGAAATAGCATGAACTGTCGGTTGTCACTTCCCGCATACATTCACCAATTGCTTAAATTGTCATCGTTTGCAAAATACAAAATTTTTGGGGGATTTCTAAGAATAGTTATAAACTCATGTGGGATTTCTTGGTCTTGTGTTTAGAATTTCTGTAGCATTTAATTGTATTTGCTACGTTTAAGTTCTAAGTTTTTTTTTGTTTTCTGGAAGTGACGGAAAGGGTTAAGAGAGCGGGATACGGAAAAAAGTATACCTACAGCTGCTCTGTGTTGCAGGTGCGCACTCTTATATACACATTGCGCATTAAACAACTCATTAACATATAATGTCTTTCGGATGGTTGCCGCGTCCGTTTGCAGTGTGGTGCCGACGTTTCGCAGGCGTTGCAGTCTGCATCATCAGGGCTGGGAGACTCTGATACTGAGCTCCCTCGCGTTGCGCTCGTCCTTTTATAACGTCCTTTTAACGCCTGCGAAACGTCGGCACCACACTGCAAACGGACGCGGCAACCATCCGGAAGCCATGAAGACTAAAGAAGACAACAGCCGCGAAAGCCTGAAAGCCAATATAATGTCTTTCGTGTAAGAAATATCGAGAAAGCAACCGAAAGGTTTGAATCTCTCTCTTCTGTTCACCTGATCGGCGCGTGTCGTTCTATAATGTTTGGGGAAACAGTGCCCCACCACCAGGACAGCACCTGAAAATCGGAGCATTGCCGATCATGAAGACCGAGAGCATCCGACAGTGAATATATGACAGTTTCGGAAATAGGACATCCGAGAGAAATTCACCTCGCCACACTTAGCTCTCCATGCTATATACCTCGCGCTTGCTTTTATTGTACACTTATAATTTCGTACCAGTAAAGCTCATGCATATAATCGCATAACTCGTTCTTAAAGTAAAACATAAACCTAACTCCCGCTACTCCCGACGAAAGGACACCAACCATTCAGACAAGCTTACATTCGTGAGCCTAAGGTAGGGCCAAACAGAATCTCTCGTAAACGAAATATTTCCTTCAAACAGATACGTACTGTTGGGGGCCAGCGGATGTGGCAAGACTACCCTGTTGTCCTGTATCATCGGAGCACGTTATTTCGATAGTGGAGAGATGTGGGTCCTGGGGGGATCTCCAGGCAGCATAGGCTGCGGAATTCCAGGGCCTCCGGTGGGTTATATGCCGCAGGATATTTCTTTAGCCGAATATGTTTCTACGAGTGATGCTCTTTATTACTTTGGCAGGATCAATGGGCTTGACGATAAAGAGATCGGTAAGACACCGAATGGATAGGAATATATCAAGTAAATTCTGACAAGTTTAATTAGTTTTACTTTTGCTTTCAAGTACGTCTTTCAAGTGGTTCTAGTTTTGTATTGCTCGAAAGATATTTCATTATGTCAATTTAAAACAACTACAGTTTATCTATGTTGTTTCCAAGAAACAAGACATAGGTTTTTCTCGGAATTGTTCCAACTGCCTCCAACAAATCAGTTGATGAAGAACATGAGTGGAGGTCAACGAAGAAGGGTTTCCTTGGTCGCCGCATTGATGCATAAGCCCAAACTTCTAATTCTAGACGAACCCACCGTAGGTTTGGACCCACTTTTGAGAGAAAAGCAAGTAAACGAGCAAGTTGGCTCGTTTTTTAGACGTGATAAGCACAGAATATTAAGAAAATGTTTGGACGTCTTCTTTCTTTACAGCATTTGGGCTTATCTGATCAAACTCACGCAGGAGGAAGGTACCACGATATTGATCACGACGCATTATATCGAAGAAGCTAAAAAGGCTAATAAAGTGAGTCCCCACTAGACTTTCCATTACATTTGCCTCAATAATATTTACGACTGCATTAAAAAAACAGCGAAACTTTCTCGTTTTAAAGGGTACGTCAAAAAATTTTGAAGAAATGTTCTTATGACCTGGTTTACATACATTGTGCACTTGATGCGCGTATCAGATAATGTATTTGAACAGAGCAGTTAATTACTAAACAAATTTACTAGTTGTTTTCAGTATTGAATAAATTAAACATTTGTGTTTTATTTAAGAATTTAAAAAAGTTTTAACATATTTTTAATGCAGTTTATCTAGAATTATATAAAGAAGTTGCTAAACTTCCTATATATGTAAGCTAGGTTTTAGTTCTGAAGCAAGAACTATTCTTTACTTTTGCGAATATGTTCTTCCTAATTGTATGTGTCACAAATTTGATCGTGCTTAATATTGTATATTGTGGATGATACGCAGGTCGGTTTTATGAGACATGGTAAATTGTTAGCTGAATCGACGCCACAGAAATTACTGGAGCAATTTCAATGTTCGTCATTCGAAGAAATTTTCCTGAAATTGTGCGAGGCACAGAATAATGCAGTCACTTTAACTGAAGCTCAGGGATCCAATATGGAAGACGCTGGTAGCGATGCCTTCAATCACGATCAAGACAAATATGAACAATTAAAAGTATACGAATTTTATTGTTATAAAAAGTTTTGCAAATTTATATTATTTTAAGACATTATAATAAGTCACATTATTAAGGAAAGCGAAAGGGTTTCGAAGAGACAAGTTTCACGATTAAGAAGATTCAAAGCTCTATTTGTGAAGAACAGCATCCAACTTACCCATGATTACTCGTAAGTATTTATCATAACTTATCAACAATGCAGAAGGGACACTCTTGTCAACAAAATAAAATTGCAATTGTTTCACTTTTGAATGTTTCCTTCAATATATACTTCCCAGATAACATGTATGTCTATAATAAAGGACATCTTTAAGACGTGTTAAAGACGTCTTAAAGATGTCTTTTAGACAAGTATGTTATCTGGGTTGTACAGACTGAATTGTCATATATATATGAGCTAGAGGTTATATCTCAATATTTGGAGTTTTTGTCAAATGGAAATTTCATAACAATAATAATAATTCTTTCAGAATTCCATTTTTCGTGTTATTCATGCCGATATTCTATCTCAGTATATTGCTTTTGGCAATAGGTGGTGATCCAAAGAACTTGAAGATTGGGATTGTTAACAATGAAGCTGGCAATTGCGAATACGGTAGCAACGTTGGCAATATTTGGAATGACGAAACTACCTGCTACTTCGGCAATCTCAGTTGTAAATTCCTAAACAATTTCGACAATTCCATTGCAACACAGGTGTAATTCCAAAATTAATAATGTAATGTAATTATGTAATGATGTGTTTAAGTATACGAGTAGGTACAATGGCGTTTTCTGTTTTCTCGGTATCCTCTTCTCTGTCACCTATTTATTCCAATGTAAATTGGAAATAAATTAGTATGGCTCGTATGTGTTAAACACAAATTTCAAAGAATTTAAAGGACTCAGAGCCGTGACAGGGTGGTAGTGTCAAAATATTCTATTCTAAATTTATTACGAGAAAATATCACCTCGGCCAGGGTTATTTTTTCGCAATAAATTTAGAATAGAATATTTAGACACTACCACCCTGTCACGGCTCTGAGTCCTTTAAATTCTTTGAAGTATAAATTGGAAAGTTTTTTTATTCAATATTAATTAAAAGAAACAGAATAATAATTATTAACGCGTTTGTTGATGATTCTCATTAATTATATTTTGTTTTCAGAAGTATTATGACAATATTTCAGAGGCAAAGTATGATGTCCAAAGGGGAAAACTTCATGGTATAATATATTTTCATCAAAATTTTTCCGAAGCTCTACAGATACGAGTGGAAAATGTCACTTTCGCGAAGGATTTTCATCTTCTTGCCAGTCAGATTCAAGTTTTCCTCGACATGAGCGGTATGTTACATGTTGTGCAGAGCATTTCACAAATCATTAAAAAATTTCATTAGTTTCTATATGTGTATGTATGTTTTCACACACCTGCGTGCGCGCGCGTAGAAACGTATAGCTTTAAATAGATAGTTTTATTATTTAAAAAACTACACAAAAAGGAATTCAAGAGATTAAGACCATTTCATGAACGACATATAAAAGAATTGATTTGTTACAAATATTACATTTATAATGACTTTTGTTACAGAAGGACCAATTGGATATTTTCTACAGAATAATCTATTTCAGTGGTTTTTAGAAATTTTCAAGGCTACCATGAAGGACTGTAAATATTTGACAAAATTGGCCAGTCCGCCGATTCGAGTCAGTATATTTTATAATTTTCCATTTTATAAGTAAATCTCCTTCTCCTTTTCTCTCTCTCCCTATCTCTTACGTAACACTAACAGAAAAAATTAAATTTTCTATTGTTTTTCAGTTTGAAGATCCAATAGGTACGACTGATTTAAAATATATAGACTTCGTGATACCAACATACCTGCCATTGTAAGCAAAAGTCAAGCCAACAGAATCAATAAACTCAATTTACAAAACTACTGATAGTTTTGTAATATATATTTGCAGATTTGCCTTCTTTCTGGCCACTACAATCTCTTGCATCGTGATTATCACAGAACGATTGGACGGTATCTGGAATCGAAGTTTAGTCCAAGGTATTAATTTTTTAATTAGGCCCCGAAATCGATTTTACAACTATTTCTTTACCTTTGTATATTTTATCATCCCAAGGAAAAATGAAAACCCTAGATAACGTTAATTTCATGTCATATTGACCAAAATATGACATAAATTTGGTCAATAGGACATCAAATTGACATCATCTTGACTTTTTATTTTCCTTGGGATATTAATGTGAATATAAATATCGTGATAGGGGTCAAAGCAGAAGAAATTCTGGTGTCTCACATTGTTGTTGAGAGCATCATCGTAGTTATTCAAACCATTACGATAATACTTATAGTCTTCCCTATATGGGGATTGGAATGTAGAGGATCAATATTCACTGCTTTCGTCCTTGTATTTCTCAACGGGTTTTGTGGATTGTGTTACGGTGAGTACTCCACGTATATCAAAAAGCGTATAGCAGCAATTCAGAAACTGATGAAAATTACACTGATTGTTTGTGCACTTGCAGGTTTTGTTATATCTACCTTTTGCACATCTCTTTTTACGGCCATATTTTCTGCAGCCGGAAGTTGGTTGTCGATGTTCTTTCTGAATGGTGAGTTGTAATCTTTGTTTCTCGGAAATAACTTCTTATTTGAATTTGTTATTAAATTAGTTCTAAAATTAAAGTTTTTGTTACATAACGATATATAAACAGTTCGCCTAGTCTAATATAAAAGTGTAGTATAGAAAATTTTATAATATAATGGTAAAACTTCGGAAACACGGACCCAGCCCCAATGACCTTGACCTTGGCATATGTTGTCAAGGTCACCTTACTGAGTGACCTTCAGAAGGTTTTAGCCGTCGCTCGTTGTTTGTTAAAAAGTTATAAAAAAAAGAAGTTTCGCAAATGCTATGTAGTTCACGATATCATGTACGTTTAGGATGGCCTCACGTGGAAAGTTTCTGACACCATATACAATTCAAAGAATGTATAAGTGTCTTTGAGTAATAGTTTTCGAGAAAAATGATGGAGTCTAAATCTTATATCTTTTTAACTGCAGTTGCAAGTGTC